ATCATGCTAGGCGTGTGTTTCAAGTGAGTTTTTTGATAATAAAATTTTATGATTACGTTATCTATATTATTTTAGTAAGGATACGTGTATCAATTTAGATAGGCGCAGTGTAATACTAGTAACAGCAGTATTGTATACTTAAATTTTCAGGAAAATGGGGTGAACCGTTTTTGATTTGATCAATAAAATAAATTTCCTCATTATTTTTTTTTCAGTCACTGTATAAGTACTTCTAAAAAATATGAGTGCACGGATTAATCACAAGTATAGATTTATAATATTTCGCATATTTTAAATGGGAATTATCCGACACAATTTTGAGACGACGTTATAATTTTTTTGGGAGGGGATAAACGGATAAACTTCGATTAAAGATTTACTATCCTTACGATAACTTTAAAACGTCTGCAAGATTGCAAATATTCGGTTTTCCAATTCTAAAGTTAAATTGCAAAAGTGTTGTCATAAAACTGTGATTGTTCTTTCAAAAAATTTGGATGTGTAGGGTAAAAATTTAATACAGACTCATAATCCAGAGGAATCTAATATTTTATAAAATTGAAATAACATTTAGTACAAAACATTTTGAGCTGTTATCATCACATTGTTGATGGGGATGATTAGACAAATTTTGGTTAGATTTTTATCATCTAAACGATATTCCCAACACATAAAATTTGACAACAATCAGTCCTGTAGTTTCTGAGATTATCTGTCTAATAAGAATCGACACCCTCGGCGAACACACACATGGAAACGGGAAACTTATTTTTTCATAATCTAGGGGTCATGAAACGTTTATTTGTCCCTGCGAAAAAGTTGATGACGTCATTGCAAAATTTAATCGAGAAAAACTCACTTTAAATATAGGCATAGCATGATTCTTTAGCTATAGTTTAATAATTTACCCATAATTTTGTTTTAACTTTTATTTCGCTGAATCAATTTTTATCATTTTTCTAAAAATGTGGAGAGAAGTTCCGTCTAAACAACTCCAGAACTTCGTTTTAATTTCTTCTATAATTTGTTTTGCTTTTCATCACAACTTTCATTTTCATCATCTTCATCATCATTTCTAGTGCCGTTACTGTTATTAGAAGCCGCAATTTATTCTTTTTGTTTTATAAATTTTTTACTTCTTGAACGTAAGCAAAGGAAGTATTGTAATCGAGTCCATCGGCCGAGTTTTAGGTTTTCTCGACGTAGAGATCCCTAGAGTACGAAGACATAGGTCTCCCATTTCCGTCTGTCCGTCCGTCTGCCGTGCCGGATTTTTATAAGACAGATAATCTCCGAAAGTACTGGGTCGATTGTTGTCACATCTTATATTTATGTTACAAAATTTAAATAGTATTTACTATGCAAAATTATGAGATAATTAAAATTTGTCTAATCATCCCCACCAATAATGTGATGACGTCACTTCAAAATTGCATATAGGAAATGTGTTTTAAGTTGAATGAAATAACGTAGTCCTGCACATGTAGTTTATGATTATGACTCTGTATTAGTGTATTGAGTTTTTACCCTAAACGTCCAGATTTTGGAAAACACATCAAAATTATAAAACAACTTTTTCCAATTTAATTTTGAAGCTGCAAGAAAATACATTTACTTATCTCCTCCAAAAAATTGATGACTTCAGCTCAAAATTTTGCCGTTAAATCCTATCTAAATTGTACAAAATATGATGAGTCTGTACTTGTAATTTGTCATTTCATTCATATTTCTTGGATTTGCATATACAGAGTGACTCAAAAAAATTAATGAAAGCGTGAATTTATTTTATTGATTAAATCAAGAATTGCAAAACTGAATAATTTTAAATTTTGTAGGCGTTTTGAGGTTATTGCAATCATGGTACATAATAAATCCTAAAATTGCAAAATATGATCAGTCTATACTTGTTATTTATCACTACATTCATATTTTTTAGATTTCCGTATACAGGATGACTCAAAAAAACTAATTTCTACGTGACATTCTTTCGATGCATAAATAAACACTTGAGCGTCAGAGTGCTATTACCTAGGGTTGAAGGACAAGGGGTGTTAGAGACGGATTATTTTAAGTTCAACATGGTGAGTCATCAGAATCTGATAACGGACTGTCAGTCGTAGCGTAACATGTACACTTCAAAAGGAGGTGCGGTTTTTAAATTTATTTTTTTAAATGACAAACAATAACACGCGGAAACAGAAACAAACTTAAGTGAACTGGTCAACACGCTAGCACGAATGCGGATGAATCTATTAGGCACTAATCTAAACAGGTACAGTACCCATATGACACAGAAACGATGACGGACACCTTTGAGGTTGCGCCCATTCGAAATTTTTTTTGTCATTCCCTTTGTTGCCACTTTTTATTCGGTTGTATATTTTTTGCATTCCCTGTTTATCTTATTTAATAGGTAATTTTAATTATCTCAAAATTTAGCATGGTAAATCCTATTTAAATTTTATAAATTAACATGCTCCTGTATTTGTGTCTTATGTATCCGTCTTGATTTTTTACCCTAGGCAGCCAAATTTTCTCAAAAAAAAAAAAATAAAAAACATGATCGGAAACAAAATAGTCATGGGTTTTTTAAGATTCATTTTTGATAGAATTTTCTTTCGTCTTGTCAGAGTACCGTCAGTTTGGAAGTTTGAGTTGAAAATAATGTTTCAGAAATTTATGGATGTCTTTGATCGTGCTTTTTATTGCTCTCGTACAATTTAACTTAGAAATAAAAACATTATTTTATGAATTCTAACTCTACTCAACGAGTTTCTATGGTGTAAGGGAAACGCTAAGCAAACATCCATTAGCTGAGTTGGTTAGAACGTCGTGCTAATAATGCGAAAGCTTTTTTTGTTTTTAAGTTTGGAATGGATCCGGGGGCTATCCGGATTTTTATTTTTATAACAGATATCCGTATTCTGGATCCAGATCCACATCCGAAACTTTGCAGTGAATCGGAACTGTAAAAACGTCTCTAAACCCATAACCTTACACGAATTTAAATTATTGACTACTCATAAATTCATAAATCTTTTCAGTATTGATTTTGGTTAGGAATCCTAGTATTATTTGTGTAACTAATTTCGAATTTCGTAAATAACTGGTAATATTGATACAAAAATTGTTGATTCAACCAACAAACTTATCAACTTTCGTTCTAGACTGATAACCTGATAACAGATTTAAGCGAATAACAGTAATTGTGTAAGTGTATGATGTGTGATGACCAAACATGGTAAATTACGTTAAACGACGTGACAATAATACGGTGAAAACACACGAAAAACGTTCCTCAACATTAATACTCCAAGGACGTGGAACAAGACATTTCTCTATATGAAATTTTAACCGAAGACAGCTCGTGAATTATATTGTCTCATCCTTCAAACCGATAGAAAGCGAAGTGACTCCTCTTCCGGATTAAATTCAGACGATATCTCGAATCGCAGGACAATTTCAAAGTTCATATATGTGTAACACGAACGCCGGCATTTTTATTAAGCTGATGTAATTTCCGGCGTAAGAGAAAATTTGTTGATTTATTGACACAAAATGTCTCACAATAACTTCTGTATCTATCTGTCTGACGTTTATATGATTTTCTGGGAACATAATATGAAGGAAATTCGCTTTGTACGTAGCCTCTATGCAGGATTTGCCGTCAAATTGTTTTCTTTCTCTTGCTTCAGTCGCTCCTTTTTACAAGTGCTCATTATTTGCTAGATGGAGGAGTTTGTTTTTCTAGACTAAATTGGCGGCTGTGATTAAATAATTAAGCGCCTGTGTAAATAATGGAGGAAGAAATAACATTGTAGCTTTTAGAGTAGTTGTGACTGGAGATAATGTCCTCGGGGAGTCATTTTTAAGAGGTTTCGGAGCTTGGTCTATTATGTAAGCGAAGTGGACTTTATTTTCTTTGTGTGAAAGAAAAATACGTTGAATATATATTACAGGGTTTACAGTGCGGTTTTTAGCGTTTTATAAGGGGTTATTGCAGCAAGATTTTTTTAGTAGGAATTGTTCGGCTTACGTAATGCGTATTTTATTAATTCGTCGGTTACGGTGTAAAACTGTTGTATAACTCAGATTTTTCAATTTTTTTATATTTCAATTTTTCGACTTCTTGATTTTAGATTTTTGATTTTTCTGTTTTCTATCTTTTGAGATTTGAATAGGTTTTTCGATTTCTTGATATTTCGATTGCTCGATATCTCAATTTTTACATTTTTCGATTTTTAAAATTCTTTGATTTCTCAATTTAACGATGTATCGACATTCTAATGTTTTAGTTTTTCTAATGTTCGATTTCTTTATATTTCGATTTTTCCAAAAGTCATTTTTTCCCGTTCGTTATCTGTTTTAAATATATTTCATATGTATAGTCAACATCAAATTTTATAATTTTCTAAAGAAGCGGAATTTGTTCGGCTGCACTTTAGGGGCGAGGGAAGTTCTGTCGAAATAACCTTGGACCAATTTTTTTTTTAATTAAAAACTGTGTCAAGTTACGACCTACTTTTCGGCTGAATTTGTTCTGTCAATAAATTCTTGGGCAACTAGATCACAAATCAGGAAAATTACTTGGTATAATATACTGCACATATTTCACGGCCTACTTTTACACCTAAGTAGTTGTTATAATATACACCATGTTAGTTGTGATGTAATGTGGATGATAATGTGTCAATATAAAATAATTTTACAATCAAATACACTTCATCGAAACTAGAAATGACAGAAATTTTCTGGAATTTAGATACTTATGAAAAATATTAAAACAAAAAATTTGGTAACAAATCAAAGTTTGTTCAGGTGTAGAAAAGTGGTCTTTTATTTGCTCTTACAAATTCAGAGCGAAAAAGTAAAGATAAACCAACATATGCTTACTTATACGTGAGTGTGATTTTAATCTTTAAGAGCTATATAACAATTTGTGTCAATAAAACGCACTTTGTTCATAAAATTTGTATTGTAAGTGCTAAAAAAACAGCAACTTAAACACAAATAATTTTATTAACTACAAGAATATTTTCTACTCTTTCTATCTAACAATCAAATTACACTAGTAATAAACGACTCTTTCAATTTTAAACTATGATGAATTATTTGTATATTATGCTGCCATTCTTATTTATTAAAGTTTTGTTGTTATATTTAAATATTATACACAAAAAATTTTACGTGTGTATAAAATGCTCCAAACATCTTTTTCAGGCAGTCTGTGTGGAGTCTTAGACCTACAATTTAAAATTGTATTCAAATATACAGGATATTTCATCTGGAAGTTGCACACAATAGTTACAAGTTTTAACACCCCACATTTTTTTTTACAGAAAGATTAAAAAAGGAGAGAAATTATAACAATCAGAATGGGTTTTTGATCAACAATTTCAACATATTTTAATTGTATTGTCAAAAAATGTTCGTTCTTAAAAATTCGCAACTCGCGATATTAAAAAAAAGGGAATATTCCATTCTCAATTTTTAAATATGTATGACCATTTTTAAAATGCAAACATCTTGAAGACTGTTGACTAAAAACCCCCTTTTCATAGATAATCCAAATCTATAAACATATATAGCATGCTCCACTTAAAAAATAACTTACAAATTTTATGTACATAAAAATAAATTATAGCCCTAAATGAATAGGCCTAAACTGAATTAATTAAAATATCACCAATTTTTCACCCGCAGTTTATTTTATCACTAGTTATGAAAAATTAACCATTTTAAAATTTCAATCAATTTTGGAAAATGTTACCTTTCACGTCAAAATTAGAAAAAATATCTTGTATTTTACCACAGCTCATTTTTGGAATACATTAGGACAATTATGAATCATAGATACACTTAGCAAATTGCGGCTTCTTTATTACTTCCTGAGCATAAGGGGTCATCGTCAAAAAAGATAAAATTCTAAAAGTAAATTTCACAATTTTTCGAAATTGCATTTGTTCGACTGTACCTTAGCGGCCTGGAAAGTTCTGTCGAAATAATCTTCGACCAATTTTTATTACGTGTCTTAACAGAGGACAATGATGTTGTTATGCAACGTTTATTGTATTTTTCTTATCCCAAAAGAACTAAAAAATATACATATTTTAATAGAAAATGATAAACATTATTAACTCAGCCCAGGGCAAAGCGTAATTCGCCAAATGTATACAAAAATAAACGAAAAATAACAAAATGATGAGAGAAAATGATAAAAAAGCAAAAGTATAGAAGTTCCAATTAGAGAAAGCAAAACAATGTTATTTGAAATCGTAAAAATTACTCAAAATACTTCGATTAAATACTATTCAATCATTTTCTGTCAAAAACACTACATCAGAATTTGATAAGACACGTTTTAAAAAGATGAGTGGACTTAAATATAATAACTAAATAAATAGAAATCATTTAACATATCTCAGTAACGTAACACTTATAGATAAATGTCTTTTATCTTAATCCAAATTTCAAATTTTCTTCTTGTAGATGAAGTTTAATAGGAAATTAATTGTGCTATCACTTACTCGTGATAATGTAGGTCGACACTTATGGAATTTTTATTGACACTGAGTACTTGATATTTACACTTATAGATACAATTGTAGGCATAAATTACGTAATATATATTTTCTAGGTAAAAATGACGTAAATTGATAAATGTTGACTTACTTAGTTATATCTTTCCTCGTAACCTATTTGGTTAATTTTGTTTCACGGTTACTTTAAAATACTGTGACAATTCAGGCAAAACTTTTTTCTACTTTTCACTCTTCTCCTAAATTTTATACGTTTAAAAAAATAATTAAAACAAATTTTATATAACTATGAGACAACAAACTTAAACTAAAACCCCAAAAAAATCATCACAAAACCGTTAGTTAATTTATGTTCTCAAAATAACAAAAAAAAAAAAATAAGAAAATTATAACTAGACCTACTTAGGTTCGTCGACTAGAATCTCAAAATGTACCGACCCTTCTCTATTGTTTCTACTCCCACTATAATTAATATTCTTTGCCCAAGCTCTGCACTCAATATTAACAATTGCATTAGGCAAAACATTCCTAATTTGTACAGCAATAATAGGACTCAGATAATTCGGATCATTCATATAGGGAAAGTAGTACCCAGGGAACCCGTGGCTCGGATAGTAACTAAACCCACCTATCCTTTCTCTGTCGAAGGGGTTTTCTCCTTTACAACTAATCCACACTTCAGGGTTACTAATGTTGGAATTTTTAATGTGAACACTCAAATCTTTCGGCATATCTTCTTCCACAGTTGTCTGGTACTCAGGTTCCCACCCAAAAATTTTATTCAACTTGAGAAAAACGCACGGAGAACTGGAAGCATACCCGTAACTATTATTGTTAGTACATGGCCCAAACTCATCGAGATTCACCGTGCACACGTGCCCTTTTTTGACTTTTACACTGTGGTCACAAGCCTGATAATTTTTTCCCACCTGGTCTACTTTGTAAGGTTTCAAGAACTCATCGGTTAAATCAACCCACTTCTTTGTACTCTCGGTTTGATTCAAGGTGTACCATATCAGCGAACCTTCTTCCGTTTTCTTCGAAATGGGTCGAAAACCTAAACCTGGGTTAGTACCAATGAGGCTGTCCGACAGTTGGTATTTAGGTTCGGTATCACTTAACGTGGCAAGAAGCCCTCTCATACATATCGCCCACAGCGCAGCCAGACAAGCGTAGAAAATTGTATAGAAGATCAATAGTTGGTACCAGTTTTTTTTGGTTCTACCGAAGAATTCTTTTTTGTCGGGGTCGTAGATGGCTTTTTGGAAGCTCTCCCATTTCGTTGTTTTGGGGATTTCGTGGAATTGGAATTCTTGTACTTTGGGTTCTGAGAGGTTTTTTGTCGCCATGATGTGCTGACGTTGTGGGGATTTGTTGCGTTACTGATTGCGTTACTGATGTTTGTCCACTTATCTTTATTAATAAATGCTGGTGATTAAAAGACAAACAGATAGGGCGATAACACAAGCACACAACACATCTCTGATACCATGGGATGGTTGAGATATCTATGACATTGACGTACGGTCACATTTTATATTCGGTTGTTGGTTACAATTTTTGTTACTCTCTTTTGAATTCTAACACTATTACTACACTGTTTTAATTATCAAAGAAGACATTGAAAATGAAAGGGATTTCCGCAAGGGTCTTATCAGGGGTCTACTTATCTCTATTTGTTTTTTAAGTAATGAAATTCCATTGGCTTTTGGCAATTTAGAAACATCTTGCTTAAACAGTATTTGCTGTATCTTTCTAGACAGCTGTCACTGGTTTTAGGTTATCTATCGTCTTAAGAAAATGTTTGCAATTTGTTATCGCTAACACTTACAAGATTTGTGATCATTTTATTTTAAAATCTCTAAAATGTGCAGGACGACGTGTGTAGATCTACTTGCCGATACTACATACATCGAAAGAGATTTGCGTCATAGATAATTTGTAGTACCTGTCCCTAATATGATTTCTCAACTATACATATCAAAAATTAAATCTTGACAATGTTCAGCGAAAATTGGCGAAATATTTATTTAATCCTAGCAATCCAGAGGTTTTGAGCATAAAGAACTCTTAAACTCGTGTTCACTACTGATACCTTAGAATGTCGATATAAAATGTCTGCAGTAAAATTTTTATATAAAGTCCTTCATAATGATATCGACTCCAATTATTTGGTTGGCTGCCTGTATCAACGTACTCCGTTTACATAGTCGCCACAATGTATACTCGTATTTTCTCATAATTACTTATACAATGGTTAAATGAAAAATGGAGTTTTTAGTCTTGCTTAACTTAAGTTAAGTTTAGCTTAAGTTCAATTTAGATCTATTTAATTCTGGATTTTGCAATGTGTTAATTCATTTATGCTTAGCTCTAATTTGTCCTGTAATTGGATATTGTATGTCTGTTGGGCATTAATTATTATTGTTATTATTATTGTTCAAAAAGCGATTCTTTAAAATTTTGTATGCATACGTGGTTAGAATGAAACAATTTACTGACATTTTCTATTTTTTTTTCACAGCTGATTTAGCTGGAAATGTTCCGAAATCAATTTTTTTCTTAAATTTCGTAAAACAGCAGTAATGTCCTTCTAGAATTTCAAGAAAATCAGAGAAGCTGTTTTGCATTTATTTGTAGAAGAAATTGATTATATGTAATTACTCATAGGTTTTGTAATCTTTTGACTGCATTTCAAGTTGACTTTCAAATTTTATGAGTTTTAGCGCTTCGTTGTGATGATTGATGAATACTTTCGGTCTCTTGTCACAAACGTCAATTGTGCTAACGTCTTCTCATCTGAACATTTCTTTATCTGACTAGGTAGTACTGCACCGGTACTACTTCCACGCACAAAGTTTTAAACTAACCACGTTCTCTGAATAACCGTGATCTGAAAAATTAGTAAAATTTGTTTCAAAAATATGCCATTCACCTATCGCAAGTTAAAAAGGCTCAAACATTCCCAATTCAGTCTTTTAGTCTCCTAAATCAGGCTGGACGTTAAAAATTAACGGTAGTAATAGAATTGCGTTTTCACATCCATTTCCATGATTTCATGACAATATTTTACACCACTGTAATCGTAATTTAATGGCCCATGAAAATTCGTTAAAAAATATGTACGTTGCAATTTAAAAAAATACAGGTTGCGTGTCAACGCCGACGCCATATATACGTCATATATATTTGCAACGTACTATTTATGTTTTCTCCTTGAACCTAAAGATAAAGGCGTTTACAGAATTTTAACGCCTCATCTGCTCTCAAGATATAAAAGTTTTACCTGTGATACCTGCATGATAATTGCGTTGAATTTTCACACTCTAGAAGAAAATTCTTTATGTTGCCGCTCGAGCGACTGGTTTATTTCGTTAGCATCCCCTTTAAAAAATCACAAGTTTTACTTAACAAACGACTGTTTAAGTATTGAATGTAGAAGCGGACGAAACAAAATCTTATCTACGCCTTCTATATCGGAGATAACAAAATTTGTTTAATGATGAATAGAGAGCGGAAAATATGCACCAAAATTTTGAGAAATATGATCATATGATATGCACCAAATTTATGCAAATATGCAGTAACTTTCTTAATATATGCAGAGATATGCAATGCATATGCTCCAAAAATAAAAAAAGCGAACTAAATTTATTTATAAAATACAAAAACAGGGTTCCCGAGCTTACGTTTTATTACAAAAAATACATAAATCACACTGCAAAGTGTTTAATTACATCTCACTAACTCATAAATCACGGTTTTAAAGATAATATTCTTATTATACTAAAAAATAAATATAAACAGAACAAATTGAAAAATAGTAGTAATCCATTATTTAATTACTATTTTGGTAACAATTTATTTTTAGATATTTTTCGAAATATTCTAACAAAAAGTTTTTCCGGTGATTCTAAAGTATATGTATTTCTAAATAGAAAAACTGTGTACTACGTCCATAGATGTAAAAATACTTACCGGTTTAGGGCAGGCGCCACAAAACACAGTTCATTCTTGAAGAATAAGTTCAGGAAAAGGTTTAATCCTTAAATTAATTTGAGTTATCTTCGATATATACCTGTATCCCTTTAAATGCTTTCAATACAAACTCACGATGAAAAATAATAGTCCCTTCGACCACCACTAAACGTACCACTTAACTAACGAACAAAAATATTGGGCATGACTGGTATTTCCAAAAGTAATTAGGGCGCGAATTTACCTGAAAGGATGGCTTAACACCCAGTGGTGTCTCCAAACTACCGTAAAACCCAAACCTTTCCTAGTTATTTGAAGCTCAGGACAATATTTGCAATATGATTCATAAAATTTCGTCTTTCTAGATAAATGCCGATAGAATGAAAATTTTTTTTTTTTTCAAATTAGCACAAAAATTGATAAAAATGCAAAATATGCACGCGTTTGGTGAAATATGCAGCAGAAGGCAAATATATGCAAATATGCAATTTTTTTATAGCTGTATTCATTTTTAATTAGCATGATTCGTTCACATATTAAATATCAAGACTTATATGCAAAAAATAACGGATATGCAAATTTCATAAAATCCGCTCTCTAATGATGAATCACCCTCATAGAAATACGCTTTTCTGCGTTTTCAGCTGTGACTTGCTTTGTACTATTTTAAGATGATGTCATCAAATTTTGGAAGGGATGAACTCGTAAACGTTGATTCTTATTAGTCTACTATCTCATTAGGATAATTAAAGGCAGTGCAAAATTTCGAAGCATTCAAGGTTGTCGTTTTTAAGATACACTGTAAAATTTTGTAGCACAATTTTGTTTTTTCTTTTTTTTTGAAAAATGTACATCTATAAGGTTCAAAATAAGAATAAATTAATAAACCGTATGTTTATGTGCATATTATTTAGTATAGTTTAAGTAGGATTTACTTTGGAAAAGACGCACTAAATTTTTGATGAATAGAAAATTTTTGGATAGCGTTCCAATATTTACACAGTACCTACTCATAAATTGCAGATACATGCGACTTACGTACACAGTGTTAGTAGAAACATCCTGTATATGCAGAAGTACTTTTTTTCAAAAATTTTACTGGATGGGCGCACTTATTCTATATTTAAACGTAGTGTCCAAATATTTCGTTTTTTTACTTCCCGAGCGTAAGCAAAGGAAGTATTGTAATCGAGTTCGTCGGCCGACTCTACTTTTACATTTTCTCGACCTTTCATGACCCCTAGAGGACGAAGAAATAGGTCTCGGTCCGTCTGTCTGTCCGTCTGTCTGCCATCCCGGATTTTTATTAGACAGATAATCTCCGAAAGTACTGGGCCGATTGTTGTCAAATTTTGTATTTATATTAGGTATATCATGTAGATGGTAAAACGCTAAATTTGTCTAATCATCCCCACCGCTAATGTGATGACGTCACTTCAAAATTGTACATAGTAATTGGGTTTTAAATTATATCAAATAACATAGTTTTACACATGTAGTTTATGACTCCGATTTGAGATTTTACCCGAAACGTCCAGATTTTTGGAAAAAAAAAATCAAAATTAGGAAACAAGATTTTGATATTTAATTTGGGATCTACAAAACCGAATGCTTTGAAATCTTACAGATGGTTTACAGTTATGAAAAGCATGATAAAATTTTAATCACAATATATTTACTTATCCCCTCCAAAAAATTGATGACGTCAGATCTAAAGTTTGCCGAATAAATCCTATCTAAAATGTACAAAATATGATGAATCTGTACTTGTGATTTATCATTCCATTCACAATTTTTTGAATTCCCATATACAGGGTGACTCAAAAAATTAATGAATGCGTGAATTTATTTTATTGATTTAATCAGGAACTACAAAATCGAATGCTTTGAAATCTTGGAGATGTTTTAAAGTTATCATAGTCATGGTAAATGTTTACTCAAAATGTATTTGCTCATTCCCCCTAAAAAATTGATGACGTCACCTCAAAATTTTGCTGAATAAATCCTATCTCAAATGTACAAAATACATATGATGAGTCTGTAGTTGTGATTCATCATTCCATTCATATTCTTTGAATTCGTATATACAAGGTGACTCAAAAAAATTAATGAGTGCTCGCATAGATCTAGATAAGTTTTAATTTACCAAATGTGAATTACATCATCCAAAAACCGAATAAAATGTAGTGTTTTATTCAATAAACAGAAGTCAGAGCAATAAACCAGTCTAGACCGTCGGCATTGCCATCCGGTTATTGCAATTCGCAGAAAACATGTTTAGTTTAGTTTGTGTTTCACCGTCACGTCTACAGGTTGACAAGTGTAATGGCTATTTGTCTTAAATTACAAGCACTATACAGGATGTTCATTTTATCTGTTCACGCCTGACAATTTTTGCATATGCAACATATTGTACACCCCAGATACGACTTCATTCAAATTATTTATTTATTTTTTTAATAAGCAATGATAGCAATCACAGAAAAATGATGCCAATACCAAATAATGACAAAATTGAGAAAATTAATACTCAATTTATTTTAAAATGCGCCGCTACAAAAATGTAATGAAAAAAAACATAATAAGCATGCAGTCGTCACGTTTCCAACAACG